CCAATCGTCGATGTTGAGATGACGTTGGGCATTGTGTGAAATCGAAGTCGCTAGCTATCAAGAGAAATGAAATGAGAATATTCGATGAATATGAAATTGACTACGAGCAAATGATTTGATGTTGTGAAGAAGAAATAAGAAATTTAATTTTTATTATTTAAATAAATAAAAATTTTAAATACAATATTATATTTAAAAATTTTAAATACAATATTATATTAAAAAAAATCATAAAATATTTAAGACACGTGTGTCCAATTTTTTGACATGCGTATCCAATTTGTATTTAATATTTTTTAATTGGATACGTTTTCGGAGTGTGTCTAACATCTGTTGGAGACGTGTCAGATGCGTGTCGTATCGGATACTTGTCGGATACTGCACATTTCATTCAGAAGAAGTGTCGGGGCCTCATAGATGGCAACATTATAATTTTGTTAAATTTTAGGGGCATTTTAAAACTGTGTGAGGCAGTGAGAGTATAGCTTTTGAATTGTTGTAGTCGGCATAATAACCCTTTTTTTATATACAATTTTCAGGTTGTGATGGATGGGTAAGATATTTAAGCCTAATCCATTGGTTCCAAAACAATTTTTTTAATACTTGTCACAATCGATGAAAATATATTGCAATTCAAGAACAAATGTCAGTGCACCAATTAGGATTTCCTTAGTTTTTTTTCTTTCCTTCAATTTTTTTTGGTGAAAGTGACCTGAATGTAACCTGTCGGTCAGAACTGTATTGATGTAATGCTCAATCATAGGTCTATTTATTATCTGGTTATGAATTGTCTAATTGTCAATTTATAGCTACAGTGATACTAATAATGGATCTAACTGCGTTTCATTGGCTTCTTGCGAACTCCACAAAAAGTTGGGGCAGAATTCCCTTATCTTATTCTCTCATTGGAAGCCTGGAAGCAAAGATTAGCACCTTCGGATCCTTAAATGCTAGTGGTAGTTGACAGAAGTGATGCTCTGAACTTTAAGGTTGGCGGTTCTATCTTCCACTGTGCAGTTACAGGATCCTTCATAAAGTAGACGGCCAAAATGTTTATGTTTAGATGACCACTTCTATGATTGATCTATTTTTATAAGGAAAATTATCCAAGCAATAATTTTAGTTAGGTTCTTTTGTTTGGTTGGATTTCTTCTTTTTCATGAAAAGAGGTTAAGAAATTAACGTCAGAAAGTTGCTTTAGAAAATAGTTTGGAGCTCTATGATTGAGGAATGGTAGATGTAATAAAGTTTTAGGAGATGTATATATAATTTAGCATTTTATATGTTTGAATTAAACCATTGAAATCCCATCGGACTTAGCTGAGTTGGTAAGCGAGTGTGATTGGGGACCACCCAATCCATGTTCGATTCCTCTCTAAGTGGCGCGACTCCTTAAACGGGGAGAAAATAATTGTGTGGTTTTACACCTGTGAGGCTGGTTGCTGGTAGGCCCATCCAGGGATTAATTACGCCGCCATACGCCTCCTTTGAAGGTGGCAGCAGATAGATATCCTGTTCCAAAAAAAAAGAAAAAGAATTAAACCATTGAATTCATTTAAGTGCACTGTCAACTTACCTGAACTTCCTGTGGCTAATATCCATTAGAATGGGAGCCACAAATTTTAGTACAGATATTTTATGTAATGCAATCTACTTATAATCTTATTGAATAAAATATTTTAGAATTCATCATTTCATCCTACCCAAGATTTGTTTAGGATATCCTGAATGTTTTTAATCTTATATTAATCCATTGTTACATGCACTTTTCTGGTGTTTTGTGTTATTCATTTGATCTCAGAATTATTTTTCTTATTGAACTGTGAATATGAACATGCCACCTCCTCTCTTTAATTTCTTTTATCCAGTTGGGATTGTGATTTTATTTATGTAGAAGCACTTCTCAAATACAAGAATATGAACCATCTGACCTGTAAATGAAAAAGAACTTTTTCATGCATCATATTAAGATTTTATTTTAGATGACTTTTTACCACTTTTTAAAGCAGCTTTTAAGTACAAAAACTTTTAAACTACAAATTTGTGTACTAAACAGCTGCTTCAGAATGCAATAAAAAAACTGTCCCAAGGTTTGAGACAATTTTTGACCATTGCTTTTCGCTGCTTTATTGAATTTTTGTACTAAAAATTTACTTTTGAAAGCAGTAAGATTGCCTTCTTAAATGAGTGAAATTATTCTGTGCAGCCGCCAAACAGCGTCCAGAGTTGAATCAGAATGTGCCACGTCATTTTTTTGATGTATACCGCTCGACGTGGCCCGTTTTAATTCGCCTCTGGACAACAAAAAATAATTTCTCCTCAAATGAAGCCTAAAACTTCTAAAGGGAGAACTCTGGTTGCTCTGAAGAATCACTACTTCAAGGCATCATCATGGTTTGTATATCCAAATTATTCAGCATCTTTGGACTGGAAGAAGCTTTGCATTTGCTTATTCAAAGTTTTTTTTTTAAAACAGATAGAAATCATGTTATACAAAAAGTTGTTGCGTTTGTTTTGGAGTAGATGAAAAGTACTTTTCAAGTTTTCTTTTTATTATCTAGTTGTAAGTTCTCGAATGGTCACATTATAGCTATGGTGAAGCTAACAATTGAGCTATCTATGGCCATTGGCTTCTCGGAAGCTCCACTAAAAGTTGGTTCAGGTTGTGTAATATGCTTCTTTAGAATCACTTTGGTCCTGCGGAGTTCTCTCATCTCATTCGAAGCCTGGAAGCGAAGCTTAGAACCTTCAGTTGCTTGATTGCTAATGGGTGACAAGGGATTCTCTAAGGCTATATATATATAAAGTATATTTTATTTGTATTTTTTTAAAGAATAAACCAAGCTTATTTTAAAAATAATGAAAATAATTTTTGAAATTTATTTGATTTTTTTATTATTCAAAATAAAATTCATCTTGAATATGTACGTCATAACTGTCGGCTCCTAATATCGCTGTCATGGTCGTCGGTGATTAACATTATTTGTCATCATTATCAACAAAAGTAATAATAATTAATAATAAAATATCAAATATAAGTTTATTTTATGTTGAGGTATGTACAAAAAATTAAAAAAAAATGTTAAGGTATGTAAAAAAAATTTTTAAAAAAAATATTAAGGTAGGTACAAAAAATAAAAAAAGAAAGAAAATAAATATAATCAAAAACAAGCCTCTAAAGTTTTAAAGGGGTGGCTCTAAGGTTTCGTTTTAGACGATTTTTTTATTATTTCTTGAAGTATTTTTTTAGTATAAATTTTTTTAGTTCAAAATTTTTTTATAGTTACAAATTTTTATATTAAAAAGCTTATTTAGAAAACAGTAAAAAAACAGTTCTAAATGAAGCCAACTTTCAACTTCCTCTATCTAGTTAATAAATATTTTTCATAATGGTCATCTTAAGATGATTAATTATATGATTGGCCTATCGGTTTGTATAAGGACACTTATACATGCAATAATTATTTGTGTCCTTTTGCTTGATTGGATCTCTTCTTTTTGATGCAAAGAGGTTAAGAAATCTATGTCAAAAAATTTCTTTAGAAAGTAGTTTGGTGTTGTTTGGTTGAATGAAAGTTGATGTATGTAGGGGTGTATATGAGTAGAGTTGATTATTTGCTAAATCGGTCTAAGCTGGTTTAACTCTTGCTAACGAGTAGAGTTTGAGCCGGCTCGGCCCCCTAATGTAATGCAGATAAAGTTAAATTTTTAGGAGATTTATATGTATTTTATCTATTTCATTTTATTTTATTTATATAATTAAAATTTAAAATTTTAAAAATAAAATATTAAATTCAAGTATTTACAAAATCTTTAAGAATTTATGAGTGAGAAATATAAATTAAAAATTTGTTGTGATTTTAGAGAATTAGGTGGTTTATAGTAAATTAAGGTTGTTAATGATTAGCTTTATAAATAGGTAAAATTAAGTATTAGGCAAAAAATATGCTCTTTTATTTTTGGATCTTTACTTCTTTCCAACTTCTCTCCTATGAAAGTGGCAAATTATCATAAGAGTGTTTCTATCAAACTTTTTTTTTTATTTTTTTTATTTTTTTTTATTCTATCAAATAAGGCATGTCTGACAGTTTTATAAGAAATTTCTTTTAATAGCAAAATTGTACATTGAGTATTGTGACTTTTCTATATCATTAATGATAAGTTATATTCAAAAGAATAGAAATTTCAATGGAAAAATAATAATAATAATGATAACAAATTTTGAATAGAAGTTTTAATAATGTTTATTGATTGCAAAGATATTGAATAGATTTTAATACTTGAAAGGAATGTCTCACCAAGAAGAATCTAATGAGCCTAAATCAGTCAATTATAACATAATTAAGGTACTAAGATGGTCTAAAAATTCTAAATGATTAAGAGAGATTAACAAGAATTGTTCAATGGAGTGTTATGATTTTATTATTAAGATGAAATAATGCCCCCCTCCAAAGAATTATAACCCTCATTTTATCCATTCATAGTTTAGAGCACTACTTCCTAATACTCGATGTACAAAGTTGATCACCACCGACTCTCTCTATTGTTTGAAGAGGCCATCCTTACTAAGGCTTCATTTGGGATGACTTTCTTACTGCTTCTTAAATCAGCTTTATAGTACAAAAATTAATTTTTTTTACTAAAAAAATACTATAAAAAGCAGTAAGAAAGCTGTCTCAAACAGAGTCTTAGACATAACAATCATCTCTTTGCCTTACTCTTCGTTTGGGATGACTTTCTTACTGTTTCTTAAAACAATTTTTCATTATAAAAATTTTAGTTTTTATATTGAAAAATTGCTTTAAAAAGCAGCAAGAAAATCATCCCAAATGAAGCCTTAGCCCCACCTTCTCAAGTGAAAAAGAAGGGTGAATCATTGTAGCTCTTATGTTACATAGTAAAGTTGTTTCGATAGGGCCAAAATTTTCTTTTAAGAACTTTCTACGTATATATATATATATATAACTAACCTGACACAAAAAAAAAAAGAAGCTAAACAATAGCAGAAAACAAGAACACGCTCTATTACAAATAATTGGTTGATTTATGTACATTCCTCCTCCTTTTCCTCTCCAATGATTTAAGTTTCCACTTCCACCTCTCCATTTGCATTTGATTCTTTTATGCACATACAAAAACTTGTCTTATCTATAAAGATTTGAACAAATAAACTAGTAAGTTATCAACTTCCCATTGATGATGATGATGATGTGGGTGTACCACAGTCGTCAAGATCATCCAAGTCCCAGAATTCCTCCTCTTTCTCTTCTTCTGGCATCTTCCACCTCTCAGAAGACATATCTCCACCTTCTATAAGATTCAAAACCTGGCATCATCCAATTCATTAAGAAATTTTATGGAGTTGTTGATTAAACTATTTCATTAGCTTAGCTGAGCATTTCATTTATATGAATGTGGTGGCATATCAATATCTTTATCTAAAATAAAGTTTCCAACCAACCCAGCTACTGCTTCCATGAGCATCATGTGTCATGGGAGCAGAAGTTACAAGGAAAGTGCTCAATTTAACAAGAAATAGGCAATATTTTTCAAATCTTAGATTTAAATTTATAACTCTGGATAAGATTTTATCTTTTTCTCTTGGTTATATGAGAAGAAAGCTTAAATGTAAAGAATTTGGTTCACCAGCTCATAGAGAAAGAGTCAATATTTCTAGCTAAACCACCAGGTTTCATATATGTTGAGATTTTATTAAATTATTTTATTTCTCAATCCAACAAAAAGATAAAAAGTAATACAATTTGTATATATTGTGTGCAATTCAATAATATTTAATGCGCTTCTTGTTCATATAGAAGCAAAGTCCATGTTCAATGAAAGAAGTCTGAAAATAATAAGAAATGTGAATGTAAGGCTGCAGATCACCAAACCCTGACCAAATGTTTAGGGCCTATTTTCTATTTTAAATTTTTTTATATTTTATTTCCTCTGTGATGTGAAAGATCCTTAATTCATCTAAATTTTGCCCAGTGTCTATATTGTATCAACACCTGCACACTCACTTTTTTAAATAATTTTTTTTAAAGCTATTTATCTACTCATGATCTGCAAGGATGCTCAAATACTAAATTACAAAAAAAAAAAAAAAAATTACAAAAAAAAAAAAAAAAAGTATATCATGTCAACGCATACCTCAGCCATGGAAGGTCGCCATGTTGCATTTGCTCTGATGCAGAGGGAAGCTATGAAGGTAAGCCTCTTCAATTGATCAATATCGTAATCCTCTCCTAGTCTTGTATCTACTAGCAATTGTATTGTTCCATCATTTAAATATGGCCTTGCCTGTGTGAACCCGGCTTTAGTTAGTAGCTAAAATCACAGAAAATTCATCCAAATGAGGCATATCAAAAGAAATATTTTGAAGTTCAAGATGATAAAACCTACCCAGCTAAGCAGGCTCTTGTGGGATCCATCCACTGGTTTTCTCCCTGAAATAATCTCCAAGATAAAAACCCCAAATGCGAATACATCAGTCTTCTCATCCACAATCCCATGGGTGAAGTACTCAGGCGCCAGGCATCTAATCAACATAGTTTCACCATGAATCATATATGTTCTATAAAGAACTCAAATCTCAGTCACTGCAATGAAAAATGACTAACCCAAATGTGCCTTCGATTGGCGCAACTGCTCGGTGAGTCCATTCTGATGGAAGCCATTTTGCAAGCCCAAAATCTGAAATCTGAAAGCGAATATGAATAATACAAGCATAACATCAAACACCATGTCATCATGCAAATGTTGTATTCAGAAAGTTATAGAACCTTTCTTCATTTACATCATTAGATATACCTGAGGCTCAAAGTTTGCTGAAAGCAAAATGTTGGAAGACTTTATATCCCTGTGAATTATCCTTCTCTGGCATCCCTTGTGGAGATAATGGAGACCTCGAGCCGTTCCTACGGCGGTCTTGTAACGAAGCTTCCATGCCATTGGCGATGAATTTGCATCTGCAACGTTGAAATTTTTGAAATAAATCACATACTAAGCTTTTTTTTTTTTTATGAATGAATTCAGTATTTTTTTTTTCATGGATCAGCTGTTTACTATGCAGATTGGAGGAAACGGAGCCAAGAGAAGAGAACTCAAAGATGAGATGAAGATCTTTATCAATGCAGCATCCCAAGAATGCAGTCACATTAGGATGGCTGACATGACCAACAGTCCCTAGTTCTGTCAAGAAATCTTTCTCCTTCTGTTCATCAGTGACTGCTCTCGTTAGTCTCTTCACAGCTATCACCCGGCCGTCATCAAGCTCTCCTCTGTAAACTTCCGCATACCCTCCTCTCCCAACCAAGTTATCTAAGAACCAGACAGAAAAAAAAAACTGATTTTGACATAAGAAAAACCCAAAAAATTAGAACTTGAGACATTGGTAACTCATTTTACCTAGATGAAAACCGTTGGTTGCTCTGTGCATTTCTTCATAAGAGAAGCACCTCCATGTAGGCTTCCTCACCGGCTTCGCCTCAGGCTCGTGCTCAACGGAATTTCTCCTGGCGGCGGCGGAGCCATTCTCCTCCGCACATCTCCGGCTGGAGGGGGAGGAGAAGAAGCGGCGGAGACTTCTGCTCCGTAGATAAAGCTGTTTCATTCTCCTAATGGTCAAAATCTCAAGTAATTTCAGGGGGAATCAAATAGCCTATAGAAGAAAGCCGGACGAGAAGCCAAGATAACAGTGCTGAAAGCGAAGTTGTATTTTGCTGGAAAGTCGAAGAGAGTTCACAGAAATGTGATTAGATTGAAGAGGAAGGGACTGACCATCTCTGCATCTGCTTTTGTGAGAAGATATGAAACTTTTATGAAAGGATTTATGGAGAAGGCAGTGGGTTTAGCTGATTGGTTGGAGCAGCGCATTGATCAGGACCGTTGGTTTCATGTGATAAAAAATTTGTGCCACAAATGCTTGGAGTTATTATTTGTTTGATCATTTCTGTGTGGTGGAACTATTTAATGAGAGTGGTGGTTTGATTGGTGGGCCTTGAATGATATCGTGTCAGATCATTTGGGGTCGCACCTGTTAGTTTGACCTGTTCAGACCCAATAAGACCCAAGTGGAGAAATTATTGAGTTGGTTTAGCTAATTATTCTCTTGTCAACTAGTTTTTATTTTTTTTATGATCAATAATTTTTACCCACACTTCAATAAATCAGTAGTTAGTATATTTTATTTCTGTATTTTTGTCATGTTAGAATTAGGTAATGGACATATAAATCTTGGATAAATGAGAATATGCACGTGAAAATGAGTAGGGGTGTCAAAAAAATGATCTGATCCTCAACTTGATCCAAATTCTATCAGAAAAATTCAGGTTTGGATTGACCCGTTTGATAAATAGGTTGGGTTCGAATTTAATTTCTTCAACCCGTTTATTAAACAGATAGGGTTCGAGTTGACTCGCGAATACATTTTTGACACAAAAATGTTATGTTTTAGTTTTTTTCTTAGTATAATCTTCTTATTTTTTTAAAGAAATATGCTAAATTTAATAATTAATAAGTAATTAAAGAAAAAATTAACAAAAAATAGATTAACATGTCGAGTTTAATTCATTTGGATTGCTAGTGGGTTGGGGTCGGATTAGTATTTTTGACCCGTTCATTAAACATATTTGGTTCGGGTTGACTAGATGCGAGTTAGATCAATTTCTGGCAATTCGGTCATTGACCCGTTTTGACACCCCTAAAAATAAAATTGAACAAACCTAACTTGAATTGTAAGATAAGTACATTTGAATGAAATGAATCAATTGAAAATGTTGAATGTTGATGTTGTAATATTGAGGTTAGTTTGATATTGGGCATGACATTTATTTCTTTTGTTTAGCATAAAGTGATGTATGCCTGTGAAAAGAATAATAAAATAAATGATATATATATTTGAATAATTTATTTAAATGAGCTCAATAGATGAATACTTCTTGCAATTATTATATTTATATTTTATAATACTTCAAAGAATATATTATATATATTAAGAAATGATATTTTAAATAAAGAGAATGGGGCAGTACTTCAGGCAATTTCACAATTCATTGGATATTTTATATGGCATGATATTTTAGGCATTTTAATAAATATATAGATACTAATGGAAATTAATACATAATAATAAATGCTTCGAAATGATATTATGGTTATTGCATATAGATGGTTTATGTCTTATGATAATTGAGCTACGAACACAAATTTATCTCATAAATTTATTATTTTGTATTGCATATAACTTTATATGCATTCAAGTGGAGGCAT